GATTCAAATTTTCTGCTTTCGTCCATTTTCTGTGCTAGCAGACATTTGTTTTTGATGGATAAAATCTTATTTATTATTATTATTAATCACCAGTCATGGCTAATTCCTTCCCCCCACCCTGCCCCCGTAAATGTATGTTGCTTATAAAGTGCCACATCAGCTGCCTTTAGAGTTTGATACCCCTCTCTGAGGGTCGAGGGAAATACACTCGGCGTGAGCTCTACTGGGTTCTGATTGGTTGAGTTTGCTAGCAGCCTTCTCAAATGCCAGTCGGTGAGCAGCGTCTGAGAACCACAGGTGGCTGGGACTACTTGTTCACATGTATTATATTTAGTTCCATGATGTCCAGTTTGATAAAGAGTCTGCTGATGAAACACCCTCAAATCAAACCATTGATTCCAGATATAAATATAAGCACATTTGTATGATTTACACAAATTGCCCGTGAGCAAATAAAGTGGAAATGATTCCCCAGCAACAGATGAATGTTCTGGATTCCCAGGTGGGCCAGAGTGTGCTCACTGGGGTCCAGTGAGGCCCTCACCCACAGAGGCCCGAAGCATCACCTGACCTATACAAGGTTATGGGTAAGCCCCAAGCAGGGAACAGTGCTGTCCTCTTCAGCCTCCTCCAGTGGCAAGGAGAAGCCTCACCCTCTTCTTCATGAAGTCTCTAATATAACCTCATGTTTTTCTCTGGGGCCTGACATGACCAATTGAACTCAGTGAAAATAAAGAACTCACTTGAGAGGTGACTCTCCCTGAAGCTTCAAGAGAAAAGAAAGATTCCATCCTGGAGACACCAAAAGCTGCAACCTCCTGGCTCTTTTGCATATCCCTTTAGTCCTCAGCATCCTTGGACCCTTTGGCCAATGGGAAAATCCCTCTGCAAACTCACATAATGGTGTGAGCTCCTCCACCTTCTTTGCAGTCCAGCACCTCCTTCTCCAAAGCCTCTTCTGTTTCTAACCTCTGGTTTCTAAGCCCCTGCCCCAGTGTTCTCTCCAGACCCTCCCAAGCAGACCTGATCAGAGGGGGTAGAAGCTGGGGAAAGGAGGCAGAAGGGATCCAGGTATCTCCTGGCATTGGCAGTGGGCTCTCTGGGCATCGGAGGGACCCTCTTTCTAGCCCCAGGATCTGATACTCTATTTAACAATGAACAGCAAATCCTGAATCCATAATCCCTGTAGAATTTTTCCCCGCTGAAGTCTTACAAGCCATTTAACTTTTTGTTGAAAGTGTAAAGGATACATTACATGAATAAATCAGGAGAAAAGGAAGAAAGGAGCCCTAGAATGTGAGAAGTGGAGGCATTTGGGACATGCATTGGTGTGTGAACTATTATCTGTTCTGGGCCATTGCAGAGAGACCAGCCCTGAGGGCCGGGAGAGGGGAGCTGGGATATGAGCCCTCTCCTGGCATCCTGAGCTCCTTCTCAGGATGCTAAAGCACTGGACTCTGGTTCCTGCCACTGAACAGCACAAGCATGTGGATGCCTCAGGTATCCCCTGACCCTGTGCTGTGTGGTGAGGGATGGGCCCATATTTGCTCAGTGTGTGAAGACACAGCCTCCACTTAGGAGGCAGGAGCAGGGGTGGGGTGGGGAGGGGAGAAGCCTAGATCTGACCCCAGCCCCACCACATACAATTTGTGTGATCTCAGGGAAACCCTTCTCCCACCTCCTGTGTGCAGTGAAAAGGTTGTGTTGTGGATCCAGTGATTCTCAACCTGGATACCATTAGAATCACCCAGGGAACTTTTAAAACCCTCCTTCTCCAGAGATTCTTGTTTGGGGTGGGCTCAGGTATCAGTAGTTTTAAAAGCTTCTCAGGTGATTCCAATGTCCAGTCAGGGCTGAGAGCTGCTGGGCCAGGTCGTCTTTAAGGTCTTTTCCATCTCTAATGTTTTATAACTCTACAATCACAGCATCTGACACTACCTCTCTGGACTTCTGTTAACCACACGTGCTCCTGTGGCCCTAGGGAGGGGTCTGGGGCACCCGTACTTGGGGAATGCAGAACAGTCCCTTGGTTAAATGTGGTCTCTGGAGGATAAGAGTTGGAGTCCTTTGTCCACTCTCTGAGTTTCCTCCACATAAATGGGGATAATGACAGTACCTACCTCATTGGGTTGCTGTATTAAATTAATTCATGCTTGTAAAGTGCTTAAAATGATGCCTGACACACAGTAGGCACTCAGTGAACTCAGTTATTATCATGGAGGGCAAGTGAATGAGAAGAGGGACTGGTAGGGGCATGTCCAGGTGTGTTCTTGAGATGCAGGTGGGGCTGGGAAGCCAGTGGGCTTTAGTTTCAGGACCTTTGTCTGGCAGGGCATGCCTGGGGGCACGGGACCCGTACTGCGGCTGGGACGGGAAGCAGCAACGTTGCAGCACGCTCGAGGACAGCTCCAACATGAGCCTCTGGACCCAGAACATCACAGCGTGTCCTGTGAGAGCCCCTTCATGCACTCCCCCATCTCAGACCTCTCCCCTCAATTCAGGCTGTGACTGCCCATCAGTATTCTCCAAGTCCCCTGGGATCTTGTGCCTTCCCTGCCGCTGCCTTGTGTGACAGGGGTTATGTTTATCTCCATGTTCATCTTCAGGTGCGGAACGTGACACGGGATGGGGGCTTCGGCCCATGGTCATCTTGGCAACCATGTGAGCACTTAGATGGGGACAACTCAGGCTCTTGCCTGTGTCGGGCCCGATCCTGTGATTCCCCCCGACCCCGCTGTGGGGGCCTCGACTGCCTGGGGCCGGCCATACACATTGCTAACTGCTCCAGGTATGTGAGGACAGGGCTTGCACGGTGTCTGCCTTGGACTGGGGTGAGGAGAACTGGGGAAATGGACATTCCCCACCCAGGTGTTTCCACTAAGGGACAGAAACCACTTCAGGGCTGTGCCAGGGACTAGACAGGTGGCTAAGGTATGAGCAGGAAACATGAGCCCTGGGGAAGTTTCCATACCAGTGGGAGAGAAGTTACCACTTTGTGGGAGCTCCTCATGCAAAGAGGAAGACTGGACAGGCATGGGAGTCACTCCCAGACAAAGATTAGCCTCAATAAGCCTTGCTGTCTCAAAGATAAGGGACAGCATGGGATGGTGGCAAGGCAGGCAGACCCGGTGCCCATCCTGAATTGCTACTGTCTGGTGGTGTGGCCTTGGACAAGCCACCTAACCACTCTTTCTCTAAGCGAGGGTTAGAGTATCCACCCCAAAGTTGTTGGGAGTGTTAAAAAAACGTATGTAAGAGCTTGCGCACTGCCTGTACCTGGGGACTCCATAAAATGTTTATGAAAACAACTAACCCATAATTTTAGATACTTAACTATTATATATATATATTTATTAATCTAACCCTCACAACAATTCATGGGGTAGGAATACAACAATCATTGTTCATTTTAAAGATAAGGGTACTATGAGGCACTGAAGGTTTCAGTAACTTGCCAGGGATGTGCAGCCAGTGAGTGGTAGAGCCCAAATTTGAAAACGAGTCAAAGGAGACAGGGTGAGTAGTGTCTGAGGTGGAGCAAAGTGTGGGCAGTGGTAGAACAGGGAGAGAGTGTGGGTTTAAGTGCAAGGACTGGCCAGCTAAGAAAGTTGAACTGAAGATTGCAGATTGGAAAGGCGACTAGGGCTGTCTTCTCTAAGAGTGTGTCCTTTAGCTGGCGTGGGTAAGAGCAAGGTCCAGTCTGTGTCCTCAGCCTTGCACACTGCCTGATATATGGAAGAAGGCTCTCAATACATATTTGAGGAATGAATGAGCAAAGGGATGAATGAATGAGTCTGCCTGAGATGACCTGGTTAGGAGCTGGTATTTTCTCTCACTGTCTAGCCTTCCTGACAATACAAAATCCATCTGTCTAGATGCAGACCAGATCTAAGAAGCTAGGGCTCAGAGAGCCATCTGTCTCTGTCCCCTCCCACCCCACCAGGAATGGGGCATGGACCCCGTGGTCATCGTGGGCTCTGTGCAGCACGTCCTGTGGGATTGGCTTCCAGGTCCGCCAGCGAAGCTGCAGCAACCCCGCTCCCCGCCACGGGGGCCGCATCTGCGTGGGCAAGAGCCGAGAGGAGCGGTGAGCTGGGCTGTGGCTGGGGGTCCTGGGGACAGGCTTACCTAGAGGCCCCAGACGTTCCGGGCCCCCCAGAAAGCGGCCTGGAATCTCCGGCGATCCAGGGGACTCTCCTTCCCAGTCTCGCAATCCCAGTGACCTCTGTCAAGGAAGAGGTACCCCTCCCTAGGGTGACGACTCCTCCCCCGCCCTCCCAGGTTCTGCAACGAAAACACGCCTTGCCCGGTGCCCATCTTCTGGGCCTCCTGGGGCTCCTGGAGCAGGTGCAGCAGCAACTGTGGGGGCGGCGTGCAGTCGCGGCGGCGGGCCTGCGAGAACGGCAACTCCTGCCCGGGCTGCGGCGTGGTGAGGGCCGGGGCGCAGCATGGGGGGCGGGGGCCTCGAGCCCAGGGAAGGGGGCTGGAGGCGGCGGGGCTCGGAAAGCACACCCGCTCCGCTCCCACCCGAAGGAGTTCAAGACGTGCAACCCGGAGGGCTGCCCCGAAGTGCGGCGCAACACGCCGTGGACGCCGTGGC